CCTCTAGAATCCCGCGGATTTCCGCGGGTCCTGCTAGTATAGTTATAAGGCCTGAACACGTTATGTTCACATTGGGTGTTATATAACATACAGATATTATAGTACATGTAACTTTTACAAGCCCTTTGTTATTGCAACGCAATGACAAAAGACAGCTCTTTCAGCAGCTAGTTGTTGCGCCCATTGCGGCTATTCCCAATTACCGGGCATTATTTGTCATTGTAGTTAAGTTTATTATTCTATTCATGCTTTCTATTTATTTATTTAGTTTTGGGGAGGGGGGATGTCGTATTACGAATTCATGACCCTTATACATAATGACCATGTTCTCAAATTACGAATAGCGGTCTTCATGAATAGTTGTCCAATGAATAGCGGTCTTATAACTAGCGAGCGGAGCCCTCCTGATGGGCCTCTGCCATTTTGGTCCGGCCGTTCACTTCGCCCCCCCCCCCCCCTCCCTCACACACACACATAATACGCAGCCTTATTGTAGCTAAACAAGAATCTATAGCAAGTCGGACTATTATAGCGATCAAACAATAGCCTTGCTCGGCCGCGTGAAATCCTGCTACGGCATTCTATGTTTTTTTTTCTTTTAGAGCGAACTTTTCTTTTGTATTCGCTCCATAGAACTCTACTTTATCTTACAGCTAGGTGAAATGAAAAGAGCGTCATCATGAGTAGATCTTTTGTTTGATGTTATCCTTCTTCTCCCTAGTTAAGTCAAACCTTCAATTTAGGCCTATCCATAAAAGGTAGCTTCCTGTACCGTTCGCTTTTTTTCCTGACTGCTATATGAAGCATGTGTATGCTCTGAATTTGGCAAACATGCAGGGGACCGGGTTTAAGACCTCTCCGAACGAAATGTAATGCTGATTTATGCCTTACCATGGCATATCGACTTGGTTTCTAACCAGAGAGCTCCCGCTTACGAGCTGCTCTGCTTTACCACTGGGCTATAGCGCCTCCCTTCTTTTAAAAATATCTTTTAAAATTTGCCGTTTTTTTTTGTTAGAATGAGAATCAAAACATGTTTGGTATGTTTTTGTATCTGTGCATTATGTTTTCAAAATTTCACTTTCGCCACTTAATTATACAAATCTACGAATAAATGATTCGAATGTTAGAGCAGAAATCAATGATTGTATTTGTGTCCCTCCCCGTTTTGCGATCATTTATATAGCGCAAAGTAGAAGTCGAATGATAAATTATCACCATGAACTGATTAATGTTTTGTATTGCATTTCCAATTGCTGCTCAACTTTATCACTATCAGGCTACGCTTTTTTGTTTACATCTTCATGACACACATGTTTTGTAATCTCGATATAGTTCCCGGACTCTTTTTTTCTATTTATTCCACTTTTAAAAAGAGCTATGGAATTGTTATGATTTAAAACGCCTTTTGGACGGGCAATTTTCGAAGGCAAATCTCGGGCGTGAAATCCTGCCACGGCATTTTTTTTTTTTTTCCCTGAGGCCACTTAACAAAATATACATGTTTAGCGTCCCCGCCCGCTTCCTTTTGGGGGGCCGCCTCCTTTTTTTGGGGGGGGGGATTAAAAAAAAAAAAAAAAAAAAAAAAATTATAATTTTTTTTTTTTAAAGGCACACTGCCATACTTGTAGCTACTTGCTCCCTCTATATAGAAAACTTTCCCAATCGGTGCCTGTTGGTCCCCCATGATCCTCTTTTTCTTATGTTAAATGAGAGCTGAGTTAATGAGATAGCCACCTGTCACAGTGACCTCGATGGCTCTCTGTGTGGTCTAATCCCTTCTGGCCCAGTAGTGGTGACGGTCTTTAAGAAAAAAACATGAAAAATACTGCTAAAATGGATCTATTACTGATTTTTTTTTTTTTTTAAATGTCGGCGGCCATCTTGAAAAATAGCCGGACTGTCAGGGAAAATGTACCGAGCGGCCATTTTGAAAGAAAAAAAGAGGGCCTCCTCCTTATTATATTTCGAAAAAACAGGACGCTAATAAAACATTTTTTTATTTTTTATGGCCTTAGAGCGAACTTTTCTTTTGTATTAGCTCCGTAGAACTCGACTTTATCAAACAGCGAGGTGAAATGAAAAGAGCGTCATCTTGAGTAGATCGTTTGTTTGATGTTATCCTTCTTATCCCTAATAAGCAAACCTTCAATTTATTAGAACCAAGTCATGGGAGAAAAAAAAAATTTGACTGACAAAATATAAATTCTTCCGAACTCAGGCTGTGGCGATGTGCAACGCGTAGCGTGAATATGAATGACGGGAAAGAAAAATAATTCATTTGTCCATTATTACGACGCTAGAATCATATCGCGATGTGGGAATTATACAAATATGTTGATAATCAATCAAATTACAAACATACACAAGCGACCCAAACAGTAATCAATTTGCCGACTATAACCGCATACATGTACACTCACATCATTCATCTATTATTTGTTGTTGTTTGGGACAATTAAGCTCGCAATTAAACAACCATTAATCGTACATAGTCATCTTTATTTCACATGTCATACAGTCGTCACAAAAAATAAAAGGAGGCGTATTAAACCCAACAAAAATAAATCATAATTTATTCTGATCAAGATAAACGAGTGTATTGATTGCCCCCCAAAACAAAGACGCTCCCACCAGACAAGTTCATGCTGTGCTGTAGCAATGTACATCGCAAAGCTTCGCCACAATGATTGGAAAGATAATACCCCGCCCGTTACGACGCAAAACGGCGCGAGAAGAATAGATCGCGACGCGAGAAGAATACATCATTTTCTTTTACAAACAATGGAATATTTATCAGAACGAAAACCGGAGGAGGGGAAGACAGGCTTTGGCCGACAAATACTTTCTGTATATCAAGTTTAAGCTGCACCGCGCATCACGAGCGAGAACAATGACGGGAGAGATAATCTTCCATCGCCTGGTGGGGCGCAAAAGGGCGCAAGAAGAATAGAGCGGGTTTATACCAACAATAGACAGTTTCTTTTCATATGCAAGAATCAGGTGAGGGTGACTATTGCGCCCCTTCGCGCCCCTTTGCGCCTCAATGCGTCTCTTGGGACGCGACTGTTCTATTCATCGCGCCCCGACGCGTCCGGGCACAGTCGCAACTTTGGAAGGCTCCCCTTACCAAGTCGACTTCTAAAACATACATGTCGTCATGGCGACATATATTATCTTACCAAGTCGACTACCCAAAAAGTAATGTCGACATGGCGAAATAAATTATCTTGCCAAGTCGACTTCACAAAAAGTTCATGTGGATATTATGTGGATATTAAGTCGACTTGACAAGATGAAATATCTCGTCATGTCGTCATGTAGAATGGCACTTTAACGCTTCCGTACGCATGACCATAACTGGTCTTTATCTTTAAAAGAAGTCAAGTACATTATTTGTCATATCCTCTTTAACTAACTAAATTATAGTTTCGTATATGAGTTATTGTTTAGTGCAACCAGACATACAAACATGCACAATTTGTATTGCAAATTATGCATTTGTATACTAAATTATTCGTACTCTTACCAAGTCTTTTTAATTTTCAAGTATGTGAAATTGTGATTTGTCCCGATGTGTTGCTTGAGACTGTAAGATAATAAATGTGATCTAAAAGTATTCAACAAAGGCCATATTTCAATCAGTCCATCATTCATTCTTGAGTTAAGAAATTCACAAAAACATAAAATTTACAAGTGGTATGAATGATTTAGTTTAATTTAGAAGAAACAAAATAATGGGTGAATAATGTTTTAACTTCTTTTCTTTTATCCGTCATTATACATTATTATATCAATCATGCATTATTATACTATATAAGACATCCGTTAAAAATGCAGCAAAGGTGCATTGGGGAGGGAAAATCGGATAGAGAAAATAGTTTGAAATAGAAATATGAGATAAGGATGATCTCTCACCCCCCCCCTCCCCCACCCTTTTCACACATTCGATCACCTAGCACCATAGCTCTCACATTGTCCCACCCTGATATATGTGCCCCCTCTGTGACCCATAGACCCACGTACCCATCTAGCTTTGCTCCAATGAATGTATTATGTTACAGTCACATTTTAACGCAACTTGAACTTGAAATAATAAATAATCTCTGTTCTTCAGACCTCTAAGCTGTTTTTTTTATGTCATTTCATTTCTACCCAGGGAGGTGAGACTTTAAAGTCTCACCTCCCTGTTTCTACCCTTGGATTTGCGTACCACGTGTGCATGAGTCATTGAGTGTACGTGTGCTGTATTTAAACGTCTTTGTGCCCATGTATGTGTGTGCGTGAGTGCGCGCGTACGTGTGTGTATGTGCGTGGGATGGGGGGGGGGTAGGTTAAGAGAAAACTGTCATGTACAGGTTGGAGATTAATTAAAAGAGGTGCCGTGGTCTAGTGGATACGTCACCGGACGGACTGTGGATCACATGGTTCGCGGTTCGAGTCCCACACTGCATGTGGCACCGTGTCCTTCGAGAAGACATTAATCTAAATTGCCACTCTCCATCCAGGTGATGTAAATGGGTACCCGGTAGCTAGGAATAAAGGCATTATGCTATAGTGTCTTATCAGGGTAGCTTGGCTAATTTTCTAACTAAAAGTACAGCGCTTAGAAACATCTGTATCAAGCGCTATATAATTGTCACTATTATTTATACTTATTGTCATTATTGTTTTTATTATTATCATTATCATTATTATCATTATCATTATTACCATCATTATTGTAATTATTACCATTATTATATCTTTAATCCAATTCATGATACGTCTAGCTTTCTAATTTTTCGGATTATTACTATTAATTTGAAAAAGAAATGTCACTGAAATAAGACTTTTACGTGAATTTATCGATCACCAGACACTATAAAAAGAAATGAAATGAATTGTCGGTCGGTCGGTCTCTCTCTCTCTCTCTCTCTGTCCCCATCTCTCTCTCTCTCTCTCTCTCTTTCTCTCTCTCCCTCTCTCTCTGTCTCTCTCTGTCTCTCTCCCTCTCCCTCTCTCCCTCTTTCTCTCTCTCCCTCTCCATCTACATCTCCCCGTCTTTATTTCGCTTTATTTCTTTACCTATCAATATGCGGTTGCCAACTTACACACTCTGAGCATTAGAGAGTGACCGCTTGCGAGTAATTCATGTCTGGTAGCTATTATCGTACATCTACCCTCATGAAATTAGTCATAATCACAGAGAACGATTAACATTATTCTACCTAATACTGCAATTTCCATGAACAAATGTGTATAATAAAGAAATGTGTTCAGCACATTGGAAAGAATAGGACAGACATTATGACCGACTAGTGTAAGGAACATACATAGGCTTGTGGGAAATCTAAATGTGTTTATTTTCTGTATAGTATCGAGCTACGGGAAAAGCCTTGCATGTAAATGTATTGAAAGATCTGTTTTAGACAGTGCAGTGAGGTTTCTTGAGTATGTGCCGCATCTGATGTTCCTTCAATGTGCCCTTTCTATACTCGAATTTATTTGAATAATTTCTACGTTGCGCGAAACAAGACTGCACATTGACCCAGTGATCCCATGGCAAATAGTGGGTTTTCCCCGCTGCCAGACAGCCGTTGAGATGTAGTAATGTGTATATTCCATTGTGTCGTACAATGCAGTTTTCTATGACATGCACATTTATAACATACTTTATGTACATCAATGGCTGGCTTTTCCTGATATAAAAAGTGGTCATTAATAGTGCGTTAGATCGTTTGGAATTCGGATCATTACTATAACCTACGTGTCTACGTCACAATGATGTTTAACTGGGGGCTGGTGGCTGTATGCATTCTTGCAATTTCAGGGTCGAAGGAAGTAAGTATAATTATCCGAGTATTCGGCATTTGTATTTTTTTTTTGCAACCAAATGACTCAATTTTTCATCAACACCCGCGTGAAACTGTGAAAAACTACATGTATATGCATTTACTCTAAACGTTAATTAAAGGCTTTTTATAATTTGTATCGAATTCTTTGAAGAGCATTAATTGTATTGATACTTATTTGACTTTTACTGTGTCAAGATGGCCGACGCAACGTGAACATTGGACCGAAAGCTTCAGTCTCTATACCGTCGGTTGTTCCACTGAGACTACGTCTGGCTCCACTAGACCTCCGGTTATAGAGACTGAACGATCGCCTATGCCAGCCTATGTTGAAGATATCACGGCTAGATTTTAGCCGTTAGGCCCCTCCCACAAACATGAACAAACTTGCCACGGCCGTATTGTTATGCCCCCAAAATCCCCCAAAATGTCATTTTACCTCGTGCATATCCAATTTTACATTAGGCCTAGGCTATAATACATCGGTTCCATTTACTAACTCGATTGAAATAATCCGTTTAATGGTCCCTTTTAAAGGTACTATGTCCCATTTGCAGGCCCAAAAAATGAAAAAGTTAAATTCCAACTGCATTTGAAAGATAATACTAATTTAGAACTTCCCTAAAAAAGGTGGGGCTTGAAAATGTCTTCAAGTGGGAAAACAACGACTATTAGTTGTCAAATCGACTTTAGGGCTATAGAGCCCAAAAGTAATAGTCTTGATTTTCAGACAATTGTACCGAATGGTCATACGTTTTATGCTGCGCAAAGATTCAATCAGTTTAATCTTGGCCATCACAAGAAGTGGGTTATTGATGTAGACAAATGCTCATGTACCCTTTACAACTCTTTTCATGTATGTTATTACCAAAGAAGAAAAAAAGCCAGTCAGTCACTCAATAGTGTCTGACAGTGAAGTCTAGCAAGTAAACGGGTTTCCTTGCATAATTTGAATATGAGGACACTGATAACGTTTAAATTTCACAGATAGGACATACATGACATATTCATAATTCCTGCAAAGTTCTACAGAATTTGAGGTTGGCTGCAAAAGGGTCATAGTACCTTTAAGGAAATTATGGGTCAAAATCGACATCCATGTTGAAAATCTTGCAAGCCGTGTTAAACTCTCGCTGCCGTCAATCTCATCCCTTCTAGTCTACGCCGAAGGCAAAAATGATTATGAAGGAAAAACTGTGACAACGCCATTACGAACGTGTAGATGGCGCACAGTTTGTCCTTCATAATCATTTTGCCTTCGGCGTAGACTAGAAGGGATGAAGGTAGACTAGAAGGGATGTCATTTATGACATGAAATTGTACATATGTATATATATAAATAATTCATAAAATAGTGTGTGGCAAAAATAGTCAACTGTGACTGATTGCCAAACAAAAACAAATCAAGAAGAAGAAGAAGACGGCAGCGAGAGTTTAACACGGCTTGCAAGATTTTCAACATGGATGTCGATTTTGACCCATAATTTCCTTAAAAGGGACCATTAAACGGATTATTTCAATCAAGTTAGTAAGTGGAACCAATGTATTATAGCCTAGGCCTAATGTAAAATTGGATATGCACGAGGTAAAATGACATTTTGGGGGATTTTGGGGGCATAACAATACGGCCGTGGCAAGTTTGTTCATGTTTGTGGGAGGGGCCTAACGGCTAAAATCTAGCCGTGATATCTTCAACATAGGCTGGCATAGGCGATCGTTCTGTCTCTATAACCGGAGGTCTAGTGGAGCCAGACGTAGTCTCAGTGGAACAACCGACGGTATAGAGACTGAAGCTTTCGGTCTACGTGAAAATATACGTTTATAATATTTTTGGGAATTCCCATTGTGTACCCTTTCGGGTGTCGTAATAGACGTATTTCATCATATTTCCCGTTGAAGAAGAAGAGCGGTTTTATCAAAGTAATACATTTTCTAATTTTGTCTATTCATTGTTTATAGTCATTTCCTCATGAATAATATTTCAGACATTATTGCAAAACAACAGCAAAAACATTTCAAATTAAATTGATAATGTTTAACACATGTAGTAGGCCTATTATGAAGCATAATAATGAGTAACTGATAGTGTGCAAACACTATTTCTTTTAACTTTGATTGTAAGCAAGTTTCATTATACATGTACATTCACATTAATGAAATAATTTACAGAATATCATTACTGTAATTATTATTATAATGATTATCAATTATTATGATAATCATAATAATAATAATAGAATGAATATATTTTTCCTTCTTGTTTGGTTTTACATATTCATGTAACTAAATTTTTAAATATATGGTACTCCCCTCTTGCTTTCGAGCATGACTGTAAACTTTTTCGTAAGTGGACCATCTCCAAAAGAGAGCCTTGGTCTTTTACGGTACTCTTGATTCCATGTATTAATGATTGGCATCTGTGCTGAATTTCTGGTTTATATGTGTATATGCTTTCATTGGAATAACTTAACACTGAACTTGAGAAGAATAATAACAATAATAATAATAAACATCATAATGCTAATGATATTATTATAAATAATAGTAATAATAGCTACATTTTATATTGTGCAAGTATCCATCCTAGTGAATGCTCAACGCACTTACCTGCAAGTAGAACCAAGAAGTTACCAACTTTTTGGTAGAACTATTGCCTTGGCTTTAGCCCAGCTGTCCTAAAGCGCCCCCGGGCGCCCCAGCTTTCAAGGAATAATTATGTTCCTACCAGGTACCCATTTACTACAACTGGGTGGGGAGTAGCAAATATAGATTTGCATAAGTATAATGAGATATTGTGAGAAATGCACGAAAAGTTTGAAGAGCTTATTTCTATATAAAGAAGGGGAAAAAAAGACTTCCAAACTATAGTTATATTTCAATAAAAAGTAATATATTGGTCTAGATGGCCAAGAAAGAAGCAAAAGTATGCTCTCTTCATAATGTGCTTCTTTTCAGAAAAGAATAACAACTATTTTACAATCTCAACTAGGAAATGCTATTCACTATTTTCATTACAAAATACTCACTCGCCATGGCTGTAAAAGAACATTCCAATGAGTTATGTAAAAGTGCACTTTTTGTGACCGTGAATCCCAATATTGAACGTGGATAATGTAACGGTACATGCAGGGATGTAGCTCCATGGTCCAAACCTGGGGGGGGGGGGATGGGCGGGTTACCCTATCGATTTATCAGAAGAACAAAAATAATAAGGGAAAAAAGGGAAGAGCAGGAAATGATGTCCTGAAAAGGAGAAGATAAGAATAATGTTATACCAACACGTGCAGGAGAGGAAGGGGAAGGAGTGAGAGAAAAGAGAGAAGGAGAGACGAGATAGAGGGAATGGGGAACAGGAGAGAGAAAGATAGATATTAGATAGAGAGGGGGAGAGAGAGAGTCGAAAAGCGAGTCTGAGAGATAATATAAAAAAGAGATTGATGTTGGCGGGTACATGGGGTGGGGGATATTAGAATAACAAATAACCATATACATTTCAAATTTAAATCCCCCTCATTGACAATGAACAGAAAATTGAACCCGGCCAGCGTATGATATCGCGTTGATTAGTCATTTTTCTTTCATATCGAAATGTAAGAATGAACTTTTGCACTAACGGAACATTCTCATTGAAAAGCAACATGGACAAAAACTGTCGAATGTAACCTTTTGTGAAGCGTCAGGTACACATACACAATATTTCAGATATTGTTTATTTAGTCATTTGTTCCTTTCCGTTGAAGTGGCTGAATGAACTTTAGCACTTAAACGCTACTCGACCGGAAGGATCATAGTTTCCGTACAGTTATGTATAAAAGTTTGTAGCCCATTGTAGATAGACCATACCATGTAATACTAGTTTCAGAAGTAGCAATTACCGATTCTTTTGAAGTTAATACACTGTTGCTCATAAAGTTGGAATGTCTTTTTTTTTTTTACCCCAATTTATGGAATTATTTTAACAATGATTTATTCCTAATAGATCTAGATAAAAGTATACATTCTCAGATTTTATTGAATAATAATTTGCCATTGTTTGTTTTGCATGACTGCTATGTGTATGCTACTATGCTTATCAACTAGGGGACCTACGCCCTTAAGTCATAAATGACAGTAACGAGGATTAATGCCCCACAAAGGGCACTAATATAATAGCACATCGACACGGTTTTGATCCTGAGGCCTCACAATTACTTTGACACAGTTACATCAGAGTAAGAAAATTATATGATCAATATTTACTTACAATTTAAACACCAGTTTGAAAAACAGTTAAATGAGTGATAAATCACATTGAAAATTTATTTCCTTTGATTTCCCTATACACATAGATAATTCATATATATCAAATATACATTTATCTAGGTGCAAACAAGAATTTCGTCGTGCCAAGTTTAAAATGGGTACACCTCATTTTCGAAAAACAAAACCATTGTAAGAGAAACATATTCTAAAGGCCTTCACAACTATAATTATATGCTTTTTGTAATTTCTTAGTTTCTTGATAAGCTTCATGACACATATTACACTTCCTTGATATTTGATCAAATCCGGTGAACTCAATTAAGTAGACTCATGATCAGTCTGGTTAAATTGAAAGTCAGCCAAATTATTACATCAATCCCACTTGAAAGCTAAACACGACTATGTTACTTAAAGGAGCTGCACACCATCTTATTCCTTGTTTGTTTGATTTTATGTTTGATCTCTTTTTTTGGTATTATTAATATGCATGATTTATTGATGAAAGAACAGATTTATAATTTGTGTGTTTATTATAAGTTTTGGTGGCTAATTGGTAGACAGACAATTGTGCGCTTAGAATGAACCATATTAAGCGCTCAGCAAATGTTGTGTATTATTGTTATTATTATTATTATTATTATTAATACCTCCAATATTGATAAACATACACAATAATCCCATCTGTTGATCTTCCTACCCTAATACCTAGGGGGATAGAGTGTCCCAGGGAGCAACCGCGAACAGGAA